AAAATTCGTGATTTTCATGGGCATTACCCACGATATTCAAAATTCATTAATTCCAATGATAGGTAAGTATTGCATATTTAAAATTCAAACTTTTCGTATGCTAGAACCCACAAATTCTGTGAATTATTGTATGTTTTGACCTAAGGCTACTAATTCGGTACACACTACAAAATTCGCAATTGTAATGGATTATATTACACTATGTTTGTCAATTGTCATTAGTTTCAATCCAATGACAATTAAATTTTCTTCAAATAAAATCAATATTTTCATGGGCTTAAACCCATAATTTTATCAACTATTGTTCCTCAATACAATGAGAAACAAGCATGCATACTTAAATGTTCGTGATTTTCATAAACTATTGTACACAATTTCATCCAATTTTGTTCATTTTGACCAAATAGCAATTAATTACGCGTACTTCAATATTCATTGTTAGTCGGGATATATTCCATGATTTATGTTCATTGTCGTTCATTGACCCAATGACAGTTAATTATGACTGCTTTAGTATTCGCAATTTTGATGGGTTATATAACCCACAATTTTGGTTTTGTTCCGTCCCAAAGGCAAATAATTATACGTATTCTAAAATTCGCAATTTTCAAGGACTACAACTCGTAATTTTTGTCAATTTTCAACCTTCGACTCAATGTTGAATAAGTATATACTTCAAAATTATAGTCAATGATTTTTTTCCATTATCTTCTATTTGACAACTTAGCAATTAATTATGACTACTTCATAATTTATGATTTTGATGGGTTATAACCCTCGAGCTTTACCGCCGTTTTACTTCGTTCCTCAATGTTAGGTAATTATACATACTAATGTTTAAAAAAGCAGAAGTGCAAGGTGAACTGTTGGACCTTGAATAAAGCTAGGCATAAGGTTCGAAGCGTAAAGCATAAGCATCATAAGTTTAAGCATTTTAATAGAATCTTTCAAAATTATGAACATGTAATATATAGTCATATAATGATTTACAGATAGCTACATTCATGTCGTAATTAGTAAATAAGAATTAAATATGTCAAGTATTGGACGCAAATCACAATAAACTAAGCCACATGAATAACATAAAATCTTATTTTTACTCACATGGTCATATTGAATATGCACAAGGGATAAATAGTTTCACTCTTAGAATTCTGAAACATTTACCTTATAAAAAGTTTCGAAGCATGTTCCACAAAAGCATTTTCAAACATTAATACATACTTGAATTCATAATTTTTATGGGTAATGACCCATGATTTTTGTCCATTTTTTTATTTCGACCAAATAGTAATTAATTATGTATATTTCAAAATTCGTGATTATAATGGGCTATTGCTAATGATTTTATAAATTCGTGAATTTGATGGGCTATAACCTATGATTTTTATTATTTTTTGCTCGTTGACTAAAGGACAAATAAGTATATGCTATCTCAAAGTTCAAGGATTTTATGGGCTTTCTAACCCACAAATTTTTTCAATTTTTTTCCATTTCAGCCCATAATTTTTGGCAAGTTTGGTTTGTTCCATTCCAATGGCAAGTAACTATACATACTTTAAAATTCGTGAATTTTATGGGCTATAACCTATAAATACGATCTATCAATTTTTTGTTTTGACTTAATAGCAATTAATTATGTGTACTTCAAATTTAAAATTTTTATGGGTTTAACCTACGATATTTATCAATTTTCATTCGTTTCGATCCAATAATAATTAATTATACATATTTAAAAATTATGATTTTCATAGGTAATTACCGATGAATTTCAAAATTCATGACTTTCATGGACAACCAACAATTTTTGTCAATTTTCGTTCATTTTGACCCATTAGCAATTAAATTTTATTTCTTTAAAAATATTCTAGGCAAAACCAGCAATATTTGTTAATTTTCTTCACTCGATGGAGAATAAGTATGTGTACCCTACAATTCACAATTTCCATGGGCTTTAACCAACGAATTTTAGCGATTACAATCTATTTGAACCTAACCAACGAATTTCACGAATTTTAGCCATTCATTCGACCTGTTATAGCATGCAAAATAGTTTTAAGTGTTGATCCCATTAGGAGACGACATGTGTCCCACCTTGTGACTAATCAGCTGCATTCAAAGAGGGATGACTCGAGTAGCTGCGATCGACCCAATAGTTTGGCAACTTGCGAAGCCGACTGAAAAGGCAATACTTGTCGACCTACCCATAAGTTCAAGACGAAAAGCATCCTCACTCGGCCTACTACTCCAATCGACTCCACTCCCTATTGTCATTCGGTTCCAGGCCGACAACTTGCGAGGCCAACCTAAAAGTGGTGATTGCCGGCCTCTAATGAGACGAGTCGGGCGGCGGTGTGTCCTTGAGCCTCGCCGATAGTCGGTTGTCGTCACCTTAAATGCGTGGTTAGAATCATCATTTGCTCTAGCCCCCAAGTCTTTATGACCCATCCGACCTCGTCAACACTATACGCCTCCTTGTCACCCTCACATTAAATACCTGGATGACTCAACCCCTTCAACGGCCGACACCTGTAAAGTAGATGATGACTAGGCCGCCAGCTTGACTCGATCAAAATTACCTATCTGCCCTTCCGACCTACTATAAAAGGTAACTGTCTAGGGTAACGCAAGGGGTTTCTAAGCAATTCTGAACAACTTTCTTTATTTTATCTATTACTTCTCCGTTCAAGCTTAAATACTGACTTGATCGTCGGAAGAACCACCGAAGATCCTAACTCGGACCTATCACCATTGTTTTAAATATCTCTGACATAGACCGATATATCCTCTGATATATACTTTTACAAGGCTTTCCACAACCAATATGATCTCTAAATACCCTTCACCGCTTTTTGGCTATTTTGGGCGACATATACCCCCGATATGACCGATATATCGACCGATATATCTTTTTAATGGCTTGTCACAAAACAACATACCATAACTAGCAATTTTTGGGTGAGATATCATCACTTTTTTTCCTATTATATCAAATGACATTTTCCCCTAAAAAATCAGACCAAATGTAGCACCATTGACTTGTACTTTTGTTTGTTTTACAAGGTTGAATAGTGATCCTAAACATATATTATTTACATTTGATATGCTTAGATTTCATTAAGTATGTTCAGATTACATTTTAGTGCATTATACTATATATGCAAATATCCTTTGGGTGAGATATCATCACTTTTTTTCCTATTATATCAAATGACATTTTCCCCTAAAAAATCAGACCAAATGTAGCACCATTGACTTGTACTTTTGTTTGTTTTACAAGGTTGAATAGTGATCCTAAACATATATTATTTACATTTGATATGCTTAGATTTCAATAAGTATGTTCAAATTACATTTCAGTGCATTATACTATATATGTAAATATTCATTATGGCATTTCGATATTTACCACATATCCCCGATATTTCTCCGATATCCGCAATCCAATATAAATTTTGGTCATCCGATATTTTCCCCATATCTGATATTTAAAACCTTGCCATCACGAGTTCTTCATGTGCAGGATAGAACATCTGGCACGGAAACCAACAATTTGAGGAAGCTTGAGGACCCTAACACCCCCGTAATCTAAAGATAAACCCCCTATTTGATAACTGACATCAACACGACCTAATGACATTTAACCATGAAAACATTAAAATTCGCAGTTTTAATGAGTTAGAACCCACGATTTTGGCAATTTTAGTTTATTTCATCCCCATTATGAGCAACTGCCAAAAAAATCGTGATTTTCATGGTTTACAACATAAGATTTTTTTTTTAACTTCATTTGCTACATTAAAATAATGTGTACTTCAACTTTTGCAATTGTTATGGACTATTACCAAAGATTTCCAAAATTCATAAATTACATAAATTATAAACCATGGTTTTTATCAATTTTCATTCATTTTAACCTAATGGCAATTAACTTTTCTTTCTTCAAAAATAGCAATTTTCATGGGCTATATAACCAATATTTTTTGAAAAAACTTGTTTCTGGAGCAAATGGCAACTAAGTACATACATCAACTTTGTGATATTCATAGGCTATATGGTCCATGATCTATCATTTTTGTTCAGTTCAACCCAAAAGCAATTAATTGTGTGAACTTCAACATTCACGTTTTTCATGGGCTACAACCCGCATTTTATGTCCAATATCATTTCTTCAAACTCATGACATTTATCTATGACAACTTCACATTTTGCCATTTTGATGAGTAAGAACCACGATTTTGGTTCATTTCGTCCCAATGTCAAGAAATTATGCGTCCCTAAAAATTTCCAATTTTCATTGGCTATAATCTCCGGATTTTTTACAATCTCCATTCATTACGGCCCAATGGCAACTAATAATGCACACTTCAAAATCTGTAATTCATGGGCAATTACCAAAGATCTTCAAAATTTGCAAATTTCATATGCTATAATAACCCCCGAGTTTTGTCAATTTTTATTCATTTCAACCCAATGACAATTAAGTTTTCTTTCTTAAAAAAATCATGATTTTCATAGGTGATCTGACCCATGATTTTTGTCAATTCTTGCTTTTCGACCCAATAGAAACCAAGTTTTAGTTTCAAAATTTGTGATTTTCATGAGGCCCATGTTTTTCGTCCATTTTTGTTCGTTTTGACACAATAGCAATTAATTGTGTAAATCACAATTTTCATTCGTGTTTTGCCAAGGTTTTTCTTACAAGTAACTACTGGCTTAAACATGTATTCCATGTTAAGCCTAATTTTAGATGTGTATAGTATTTAGTTTCTTGAAGAAGGAAACAAGTAGACTAGATAGAGAATAGTTTTGGTAAAGTGAGGCGGTACAGACAAATATTTAGGCAGGTGAGCAGATAAGGAGACTCTGGTGGCTTATAGCAAAACATAATGAAGTTAGAAGATGCCTATTTATTTGAGGTTCAAAATACCTTTAAACGCATATAATGAGAATGTAATGGTATATGATACTTCTACAAAGAGAAAGTAAACAGTGGATACCATTGAGAATCATTAAGTGATGGCATTTTGCTGATTTGCAACAGCCATAATGCTATTATTTCCTCACGACTTCAGTCCAATGCAACATGTACTTACCAAGAATCTAGCACAAAGATTTATTTTATTATCAGATATAAACTAGAAATAAAGATGAACCTTGAACGACAAAATAAATTCAAGAGTATACACATGCCCACCATGCTTAGCTTCAGCCCAAGCAAGCTCAGGTGTGCCAGCCAAGGAATAGAGAACAGCGGGAGCTCCTTCCCTGCAGGCAGGAGCATTGTGATGCAGGTAGCCACATTCTGCCATTTTAAAAAAGAAATTATTATACTTCCAGAAAAATAAAAGAAGTCTACCAAGATACTGATGTACATGAAGACAAGTCAATCCCATATGAAGGCTCCTAACCACTTCAGATTCTTCTCTCATATCTTCCATGCTGGACTTTTCTTCGCTACCCGGCCTCACTGATGTCCCTATTGGTCAATCACTAGATTGAACCCACTTTTTTACAAAACAAAGAGTTTTGAACTTTTTTTTATTAAATTTCAAGACTACCACCTTCATAAGATTCTCCGATGACCTTTCCCTTTCTACCTACATATCAAGGACAAGTAAGCCCTATGAGTGCTTGCTCCATTAATGACCCATCTGTCTGTTTACATTGGTCACTGTAAGAAATGATATCCTCTAATAAAACTTATTTTGTCTAGCGCTTACAGATTGAACACGGCGTCAGTCATATGCATGTAAATTCTAAGGTCATAATTTTCAGGTATCTGCTTTATTTGAAGATAACAGGACATAATCCAAGCCTTTATCTATTAAAACGGCATCAATTTTTATCATAATTGTAATCTAACACTAATCTCTAATCTCTATTAATCAGGGCAATTGAGCAGACAAACTAAGCGGAGTTGAGCGGGCAAACAAACAACAAGAGGCACTTGCATTAAAGCACTAGCGATTTTCATGAGCAATAAGCCATCATTCTTGACAATTTCCTTTCTTTGTTCCAATGACAAATAAGTATGTGTACTTCAAAATTCATGATTTTGATGGATTGCAGTCCACGATTTTTTTCCTTTTTGTTCATTTCGATCCAGTAGCAACTAATTGCGTGAACTTTTAATATTCGCGATTTTCTTGCCCTATAAGTCTATACCCATGATTTTTGTCCATTATCGTTTTTTAACCAAATGGCAATTATTTAAGACTACTTCAAACTAGATATAATAATTATAAGAACTTCAAATTTCGAGATTTTCATTGGGCACGATTTTGGTCAATTTTCAAACTCACGACTTTCATGTGCAATAATTGTCAAAATTCTTGAATTTCACCCATGATTTAGGTCAATTTTTTGTCATTTCAAACCAATAACAATTAAGTTTTTTCTTCAATAATCGCAATTTTCATGGGCTATAACCAACTTTTTTTGTACTTTTTTTGACCCAATCACATGAAAGTATGTGTGACTTAAAATTAACTCGTGATTTTTGTCCCTTTTTTTTGTTTCGACTTAATGGCAATTGTAGTGCATACATAAAAATTCGCAACTTTCGTAGGTTAATTGACCGTTTTTGTACATTATCATTTATTTCGACCCACTAGCAATTGAATATGCATAGTTCAAAATTGAAAATTCTATAAGCTATGACTTAGGATTTTTGTTAATTTCATTTACTTTTTACCCAATGAAAAATATGTATGCGTGCCTTAAAATTCACGATTTTTATTAATTTTATTCGTTACAACCAAAATTTTAAATATCGATTATTGGAGACTTATTGGACGGTCAAAATCCATATCGGATAGCGGATAGCGGGATATATAGGGAATAAATAGTATTTATCGGAGTGACATTAGCAGATGTTGATATCACTGATATACATAATATAATACTCTAAAATATAATTTAACCATACCAAAATGTAAATAATTATGTTTAGGATCGCTAACCAATGGTAAAAACTCGAGTCGGGTCGGATATAAAGTTTCTTGAATAGGTGTCTGTTGACCGAAATAAAAAATTCGAACAAAATGCCGATAATTCCGATTTTTGGGTCAACAATATCGGCTGATAACTCACTTTATCGCCGTATTATCGGCGATAAACATCCAAAAATGATAATTGATTTAGAATTGAACTTATCATAACCGAAGGCCCCCAAAACCGATAAATCGCCGATAATATCGGTTTATCGGCCAATATTTAAAACATTGTTTACAACCCACGAATTTTGTTCATTTTCGTTTGCTTCGACCCAAATACATTTAACTAAGCATATTTCAAAAATTCATGATTTCATGAGTTATAACCTCACAATTCTAGTATATTTTCATTTGTCTCAACTCAATGGCAATTAAATTTTCTTTAATAATTTTCATGGGCTAACTCATGGTTTTTGTCAATTTTCATTCTTCCAGACAATGACAAATAAGTATGCACGCTATTAATTTGATATTTTCATGGGCTATATTCTATGATTTTTATCCTTTCACTCAATGACAATTACCTAAGCATGTAATTCAAAGTTTGCGATTTCATGGACTCCATGGGCTATATTCCATGATTTTCGTTCCATTTTCGACTACATGACAATTAAATAAGCTAGGCATATACTTCAAAGTTTGCGATTTCGTATGTTCTAAACCAATATCAATTAATTGTGCGAACTTCTATTCACGATTTTCATGCCTATTAACCTATGATTGTTTGTTCATTATCGTTAATTCGATCCAATATCAATTAATTATAACTACTTCAAGATTCTCAATTTTGATAGGTTATAACTCAAAATATTAGGAATTTTTGTTTGTTTCATCCGAATAGCAAGCAATTATATGCACTTCAAAATTTGCAATTTTCATGAGTTGTAACCCTTTATTTTAGTCTATTTTCGTTAGTTTCGACCTAACGGCAATTGAATTTTCTTTCATCAAACATTGTGATTTTCATGGGCTAAACCACGATTTGTCAATTTTCATTCTTCGATCTAATGACAAAAGTATGTGTACTTCAAAATTTGTGATTTTTGCATATTTCCATTTGTTACGATCCAATGGCAACAAATTATGTGTTTAAAATTCGTGATTTTTATGGGCATATAACTCACGGTTGTAACCGATGATTTTGTCCATTTTTATTTGTTTTGACTAAATGACAATTAACTAAGCATACTTCAAAGTTCGCAATTTCACGAGCTATGACTCATGATATTTACTCATTTTTTCAGTTCAATCTAATGACAATTAATCATGCATACCAAACAATCGCAATTCGCATGAGTAACCCAAAATTTTAGTGTATACTTTTGGTAGTTTCAACCCGGTATAAATTAAATTTTCTATCATAAAAAATCACGATTTTCATCAACTATATTCTACATTTTGTGTCTATTTTAATTCTTCAGCCAATGCAAATAAATACTCATTCTACAAAATTCGTGATTTTCATGGGCCGTCGTTTTTTACTTTTGTCCATTAATGTCGCTTCAATCCAGAAGCAATTAATTGTGCAAACTTCAATATTCAAGATTTTCATACGCTATAACCCTAGATTTTTGCTCATTATTAGTTGTTCAACACAATGATAATTAATTATGACCACAAACGTCTCGATTTTGATAGGTTATAACTCACAATTTTGGCAATTTTTGTTCATTTCGTCCCAATGACAAATAATTATACATAATTCAAAGATCACAATTTCCATAGCTACCTACTAGATTTTTCAATTTTCATTCGTTTCAACCAATAGCATTTAATTACGCGTACTTCAAATTTTGCAATTCGTGATTTTCATAATTTGCAATTTTCATAAGCTATGACCTACGATTTCTATCCATTGTTGTCTCTTTTGGCCTAATGACAGTTAATTAGATACACAACTTCAAATTTGTAATTTTCATGAGTTAACCCACGATTTTGTGCATTACCATTTGTTTCGACCTAATGGAAACTATATTGCATACTTCAAAAATTGTGACTTTTTTGGCTATAACCGAACAACTAACCAAACCGATCGAAGTTTAGTAATTTAGTTTTCAAAATAATGTTTAGTTTGAAACCAAACCAACCGAACCCCTATTGAAATTGCAACCTCGCACCAATTCTTAGCTCTTGTCACAAAATAAATTAAGTTAGTAGATTTTAAATTTGAGCCCATATGAGACACATAATCATAGTCCACAGATCCCTGTTGATATCCATATACAAACAAACATATTGATTGATAAATTAAAAGTTTAGTGGTGCGTTCAGCTCTATATATCTCTATTACATGTGGATTCATATATTTTGAATAGGCTTGCATGAGGTGATGTAGTTACAGATTTTTGTAGCTACGGTGCAGTTTAAAATTCAATAACTGTTGGGCTTGGCTTTCTGACTCATACATTACATATGGTTCTAGGCGTTTGGCAAAAGAATTCGTTCAGAATTATAGTGACAGTAAGGCAAATATCCAGGGTACCTCAATCCCAAACCAAACCAACCGATAGAACTGAACCGAACCGAACCGATGGAACAACATATCTGCCACAAAGAAGGGAATATTTAACTGGCTGAATAGTAGAGTTTGTATTCAGTTTGATCGTTAGAAATTATAGGACAGTACTAATACCGTCCGGACCCAACCCCGTACCGAAACCTGGACTTGACCAGTACAACCCGCTTATGAGTTAGAAAGAGAAATTAGCATATGCCACCTGAATGTAATGATAAAGCCTTGGAATGAAGAAACCTGCCAATAAGAAAATATATCAGAACCAGAGTTATATAATTTTGCCATAGTCATAGAAATCTAGTCTGATTAAAATAAACTACCTGCTTGCCATTTTTGAGCTCAATCCAATCATAACACGAGTATGAATCTTTTTTTCACACTTAACTGACAGATCCAACTATTCCTGGGTATGAACAGTCGCCTCACGAGAATATGTCATAAGACCTGGAGAGAAGGTAAAAGAGGGAACATAATCAGAATCATGTTCACCAAAGTATCAGTAGTTGAGTTTATATATAATGACCCAAATCAGAAGTAAGATGTAAAACTATTAAATACCAATTTAGTGAATGTTGTTAATACTGCTGACATAACAATTTCCCTCACACGACTACAAAACGGCATCCTTCAAACTGCTAGATGCCTCTTTCGACATCCTTCTTTTTTACAATATGAACCTGAAAACCACACGTACAAAAAGCAAGAAGAAGTAAATAAATAAATAAATAACACCAAGAGATGGTATTGAGAATATTAATGTACATTGAGAGACAAATGAAAAATAACATACTACGAAAAAACGAGTACGCAAACCAGCAGCAAGAAGTGCATGTAAGTGCGCACGCGTGAGCAGGGGCAGGTGGATAACAAAGAAAAAGAGAAGAATGCGTAAAACAGGAAATAAAACTATAAAAGAATTTCAGGTTTGGTTCTTATCTAGGGAAAAACCTACAGCACATTGCAGTTAAAAGTTCAGAAGATAATTTGCTTTCTCCATTATCAAGAATGAGGAGTTAATCAATATGAAGTTTGAAAGATCTTAAAATGGGGAAAATAAAAAAGAAAAGAAAACATAATCAAGTTGGGGAAATATAAATATATACAGCTGAATAACCATCTTAATTTTTCAAAATTAAGTTCCGATAACATTGACAGACTAATAGGTATTTCCTTATCACTCTCCCTCCTGGGAAAGTGGTGGAGGCTAGCACACATCTTAGAGGAGAGGAGGAGGTTATGATCGATGCCAAGCCTGTAAAGTTAATTAATTAGGGAAAATTGTTGCTAGCCCCCAAAATAACAAATTTTATTTGTCCCACTCCCAAGACTTTTTCAACACCCCAATAACTCCCAAAATTAAATTTTGCAAACAATCAAACCCCTCAAGCTCACATGTGTCCTCATCAATGTACTTTATTTTCAAAAATCCCAAAATGCCCCCTCCTTCCTCCTCCCTCCTCCCTTAAAATAAAAAAAGCCCTAAACAATTCAATTTCTTTCCTCCGCTCCAACCTCCATCGCTGATCAACAACGATGGAGTTCGTCCCTCCTTTGAACCTTCGACAGTCTCCTGTGCCACCACCCTCACCTCCCCCAATGGCGGATTCCATAACGACAAGAGTAAGAGTGTGGCATCTCCATCGGCTACATCGGCTACAGCCGTAAACTAGGCCCATCAATTTTGGAGATAGGTGTCGATGAGGGAGTCAAGTGCCCACTTGGATCTGAGTTGGCAGGAGATCTGGGCGCCGGTGGTGTGTTGGGATTCCCACCATTGCTCGTGCAGTTTTGAGATGTGAATTGGGATGATTCAAAGAAGATATTTGAGTAGTTAATGGAGTTTGCGTCTGATTTCAATGTTCTCTGAAAATTAATGGTAAATTGAACAAAAAAATAGGCTAAAATATAGAATTATAAGTTTAGGCTACAATTTGAACAAAAAAATAGGCTAAAATATAGAATTATAAGTTTAGGCTACAGTCATCTTAACTTTGTAATCCAGTATAAGCTTCCATTGAACAATGGGTGGAATACATTAGTGGAATGTTATGTAATGCATTTTTTATTTTTGAGCAATAAATATTTTCAGCTATTTCCTCTGTTCCTCCTCTTTCTATTTCTATCTTTTTTTTTAGTTCATGAGTTTCAATATTTTAAAGTATTTTGGTTGAACATTCAAAGATAAAGAATCAGCTATGAATTTTGTAACTTAGTTGCTAAACTTATGACTTAGGTGTTAATCTTATAGGTTAGTTGTTGATCTTATGAGTTAGTTGTTAAGGTTTTGTGTTTGTTGTCAAGCTTTTTCATTAGTTGTTAAGCTTAATCGTTTGTTGTTAAGTTTTTTCGTTAGTTGTTAAGTTTATGCATTGATTGTTAAGCTTATGTATTTATTGTTAAGTTTTTTTGCTAGTTGTTAAGCTTATGCATTTGTTGTTAAGCTAATAGACATTTGTTTCGTTTTTTCGTCAGTTGTTAAGCATAGTCATTAGTTGTTAAGCTTATGCATTAGTTGTTAAGCTTAGACGTTAGTTGTTAAGCTTAGACGTTAGTTGTTAAGATTTTGCGTTGGTTAAGTTTTTCGTTAATTGTTAAGCTTATGCGTTGGTTGTTAAACTTTTTTGTCAGTTGTTAAGCTTATGTGTTGGTTGTTGAGTTCGTCGGTTCTTAAGCTTATATGTTGGTTGTTAAGCTTATGTATTGATTGTTAAGCTTTTTCATCAGTTGTTAAGCTTATACATTGGTTGTTATACTTAAGCATTATTTGTTAAACGTTTTTATCAGTTGTTAACCTTATGCACTAGTTGTTAAGTTTATGCATTAGCTAAGATTTTTTGTTAGTTGTTAAGCTTATGCATTGATTGTTAATTTTTTTCAGTTATTAAGCTTGTGCGTTACTTGTTAAGGTTTTCACCAGTTGTTAAGCTTATACGTTAGCCGTTAAGCTTATATATTTGTTGTTAAGCTTGTTCATCAGTTATTAAGCTTATCCATTGATTGTTAAGCTTATGCGTTTGTTAAGTTTTTTATTGGTTAAGTTTATGTGTTAGTTGTTAAAGTTCCGTTTGGATACCATTGTGTTTTACTTGTTTTCATGGTGTTTTTACCAAAAACAAAACACCATGCGTTTGGAAACCATTGTGTTTTTTGAGCTAAATTATCCTCAAACTAAAAACACAACACTTGCTTCAAAACACGTAAAAGATGTTTTAAGTTTGGTGCTTTGGTTGAGTTTGAGAATGTGTTAATATAATATCTAACATAATATATAAAATGTAATTAACATAGAGTTATTATCAACATGTTTATTATACTATACTATATTATAATTAATCTAATATATTAGTAATATTTATTAAATAATATAAAAATATAATAAATAAAATATCTTATATAATAACATATTAAATACTAGTATTTAATATGTTAACAATGTATGATATAATAATAAAATATAAATAAACTAATAAAAATAAATAAAAAAGTTATTGATAATAAATAATGATATAATAATATACTACACAATAGTATAATCGCTATAATATTATTAACTTTTTAATAAATAAACTGTAATAAATTAATAATTATAAAATATTATATAATAGTAACATTTAATAATAACATAACAATATAATAATAATACTATAATAACATATTGTATAGTAAATGTAATATTAATAACATACTAGTAATAACATAATATTAACATTATTAATAATATTATTTTATATGAATAATAATATAATATTATATTATATTAATAATAGTATAATATTATATTAATAATAAAATAACATTATTATAAAAATATTAATATAATATATAACAATAACAAATTGATATACCAAAATAATTAAATATATAATTATTTAAAAATAATATGTAATAATTATAATATAATATAACTCATTAAGTACAATATAATATTATAATACATTATATAATTTTATATTGCATTATATTTAATACTTCTAATACTATAATAATGTAAACTAAATATTATAATATTTTATTTATAATATATTTTCTTTAATTAATATATAATATATTAATAATGTGTTTAATACTAATGTTGTAATGGGTCAAACTAGTGTTGACCAAAAATATTTAACATGATGTTTTAAAAACGTTTTAAGGGAAAACACAACACCATGGTGTTTTTTTACAAAAACGTAACAAAGAAAATACCATGATACCCAAACGAAGCCTAAGTTTTCTCGTTAGTTGTTAAGTTTATGCATTAGTTGTTAAGCTTTTTTGTCAGTTGTTAAGCTTATGCGTTAGTTAAAACTTATTTGTTAGTTGTTAAGTTTATGCGTTGATTGTTAAGCTTATATGTTTTTTATTACTCTTTTTTTCGTCTAGCAATGTTTATGTGTTGGTTGTTAAGCTTGTGTGTTTGTTGTTAAGCTCTTTTCGTCTTGCAATGGAAAGAGGAGGAATAGAGGAAATATCTAAAAATATTCATTAGCTTAAAAATCATAAAATGCATTATATAACATTCCACTGACATTCCTTTACTGAAAAATCATGAAATGCATTCTATCTCCAAACCCAGCCTCATCGTGCCCCCTCCTTTGTTGGGCCCAATCCAGGTCCCGCCACCTCACCTCCGAGGTCCCGGCAATTGCAACCGACATAGTCTTCTCCTTTAACTGCTTGGCCCTTCGCTCGAAGATTTATACATGATGGAGTTGTTTCTCTTAGGCATTTCGTCGAACAGTTGATCTAAACTTATAAGTGTTGGTGCTAATCTCCCGCTACATTTGATCTTGTGATGAGGTCAAGGCCTTGAAATCAAAAGGGAGATCGTCTTGGGGGGAAGGAGAGGGTGATGGTGTAGGAGGCCATGAAAGGTTGAATGGAGGGGTGAGCTCCACTGTCACCGATCGAAGATAAGAGTCAATGCGGACGAGAGGCAATGAGTTTGTTTTGGGCTATGGGGGACGAGAGGATGATGGTGCATGAGGTCATGGAGTGGCGAGAGAAAACAAAGAAAGGATGAGAAGTTGTTGGTAATGGCTATGGAGTGGGGAGAGAAAAGAGAGGATGGAGATGATGATGACGAGAGAGAGAGAGAGTGTGTGTGTGTAAGATTAAGCAGCCCACATGGGCTATAACTAGGGGTAAAGTGGGGAATGCAAAACATTTGCTTAGGTGGCACTAAAGTTAGGGGTTAGAAGCATTACAAAGTTGATTGAGGGGGTTTTTAGGGTGTTGAAAAAGTCTAGGAAGCGGGATAAATAAAATTTGTTATTTTGGGGGCTAGAAGCAATTTTCCCAATTAATTATGCATCAGACGAGTTCAACGAAGACAAATATCTAGGGATAGCAAAGAAAAGTTAGGCTAGAGACATAGGCATGTTTTGGCTATTTTGCATCCAGTCGATCAATCTAGACATGTTTTTGGCTGTTTTGCACCAGACAGAAAAACCAGAACTTACACAGAGCCCACACACTGAGTCTAGTTTCCTGGAGAGTCAGCTTTACATAAAAGCGTTAGCACGTCTAATTTTCTTTTTAGTTTTTTATAAAAGAAACATTGTAAGTTAACATCTTGGCATCCAGAGTTTGAAATATAACTACCAATTTGATTATTCAGGCAAAGCATCATCTACACAACAAGAGAATTCAAAATATCACTATTTAACAGCTGACAGAATCACTTGTTTAAGTAACAGTGCAAAATAATTACAGCTTACGGTGTTGTACTTTGAAACTTGAACCACTCTTATCAGACTATCTTCTTCTTCACGTCCACTGCAGTGTTCTGATACAACAACAGACAGTTGCAACACATAAGCACAAGCTAAAGTAGGATAATAAAATGCTTACTGCTGTGATGATGTCAACTATTTTCTGGAGCAAAAGTTCAGAGTAGAGTCAGGGTGGCGTGAGCAGCTCGTCCAACTTTTCGAACACGAAATCACGGTCCGTCCTACTTGACCTCGACCTCTTCTTTCTCTCAAGCCTCTAGTAATTTTCATTCCTCCTCAGTAATGGTCTCTGAGATGAGGGAGGCATCACCATTCTTAGCTTCTAGCTCAGGAAAGGTTTCAGTGATTCCCTGATATTAAAAAAAACTATTAAACATGAAAATGTCAAGAAAAAAACAAGGAAGAAAATGCAAACTCCAATTTGGGGGGAAATGAAAACGCAGTGCGTGATTGATGAGCCCTAAAACAGTTAAGTTTATAACTTTGAAATGAAATCTGCAGCATTTTCTTATAAAGCAGTGATCTTTACAGATTAGGAAGTATTTCGAAAGAAAATGGAGAAAAAACGAGAAGTCCGAAAAATACAAGAAAGGAGGGCAAGTTTCTCGTTCTAAGTCTACCCTGAAATTTGCAAAAAAAAAAATGAAAACATTTTGAAAGAAAACAAAACCCTAGATTTTTCACAAATTGGGAATTACAACCGAAAACAACAAAAACTAAACGAAAAGTTCACCAGAAAGGAGGAAATTTTCCCTCCGTATCTCCCCTAAAATTCTTATTCTTAATTTTGCAAAAGGTTCGAAAGAAACCAAAACCCTAGAGTTCTTTATGATAAACAACGGATTAATAAAGCCTGACAAAATAAAATACCTGACCTTTGGCTCTGAACTCTTGAACCCTAACCCTGGACGAAGCCTCGATCGAACTCTGAATGAAGAAGAAACCGAAGGAGGATTGCATCTCCTGCGTTTTTATAGCCGGCGGTTCCTTCTAGCGTCGGAATGACGCGCCGCGGAGAATTATAAAATAAAAATGACGCTACGCGGAGAAACGAAAACGAGTCAAACATATTTTAATAATATTCTGAGTGGGGCCAAATAAATGTGAGTTACCGAAATTACCCTCCTATCTGGGTCCATGACGTTCCAATTATTAAGCTAGTCACCTCGCACGAACATAACTACACATATAGCTACTATTCTAAAGGGGGGCACTAGAGGCATAACTTGTGCTACAGTACAGGGGTGCATTTGAGATTTATTTAAAAATCTCAAGTGGGCCCCATGTACTGTAGCTGAGAGAGGGAGGTGTGTCCCAACGTGTGGCACAATGTGTGCCTCTAGTGTTTTCCTATTCTAAAACAAAAACTTTTTTCTTCTCCTCCATGTAATAATCTCATTTATCAATAGTGATTAAAGAAACCTCATTTATTGATATGTTACATTCAATAGTGATTAAAAAATCATTTATCAATTAAAATTATAAGCTCACAAAAGTAACCTGTAATTTAGTCATCGCACAAGAGTCTGCCACCAAATCTGATCAGCAATAAATTAGTAAATGATACAGGCTTCTCTCTCGCTGCTTTGTCTATCTCCCCTTTTTATGGCTCTTAAGGACTTAAATTTTAATTATTTTATGGAGTAGAGAGTTAGTTTAACTTTCAAACAAGAGTTCTGGTTTCAAGTTTTTGCTAGCAATATTTGACATAAGCTTAAACTTAATTATGAACTACATATTTATGAATACTTATCAAATTATTGGATTTTGATAATTAAAAAAAAAGGGTTGCCTTGAAATAGAGAGAGGAGGTAGGACGAAAGTTGAAACATACAGGTTGATGCCAAGCTTTTGAAATTGAAAGTAGGTAACTCTCCAGTGTATGACTCTTGATTCTTTCTGCTGGAGCTTTTGTTGTAACCTTAAATAAGGATGGCTATAGCGTTATAGTTGGGCTTCTTGGGTGCAAGGCACTAACGAGCACTTGCAGTTTGCTGACAGACGAGGAGAATGAGAATCAGCATCAGATAAAATGTTCATTATAATCATTTAGGCAAAACCGACCTTAGCTCAGTTGGTAGAGCGGAGGACTGTAGTACGTTTGCAGATAAATCCTTAGGTCGCTGGTTCGAATCCGGCAGGTCGGATTACTTTTAATTAAAATTTTATTTCATCTTCCAAGAGAATTTTGAAGGATGCAAGTAGCCGCTTTAATTCAAGCTCGACCTGATTCAGACCAAGAGCTTAGATCAAGAGTAGACTACCAAACAAACATCTCACAAACACCGCACAAAAACTGAGAGCGTTATGAGCCTGTCATCTTTTATTCACTCAACTACATTGTATTCTACCACAGAACAAAAAAGCAAATACACTGCAATCTTTAAAGTAAAATGAAATCAAGAGAACAAAATATTACTTCTATTCACAAGTGATAGGTCACAATTCTCCTCTTTGCATCCTATGCGAGTACAACCGGTCTCTCTTGAGCCCAAAGGACACGGAAAGGTTAAAAGAGCATCCCTATCGAGACGTCGCTTAATCAACGCGCATGGGTTTTTATAATTTCTGGGGAAGAGAAGCTGCCATAGATCGCAACCTATTTGCAATATCTGAGAAGTTTGGCCTCTCAGATGGCTCAGCTGCCCAGCATTGCTCCATCAAGGATCTCCACTCAGGATCACAAGCTTCAGGAATTGGAGGCCGCAGGGTATTGCTCACAATCCCACCTGTCACAGGACAAGAGAACAAAATATTTACTACTATTTTAAATTATAGAAACCACTGGTTTCACAAAACCGTCTGAACGTTGTGACGTTCTGCACAAATCTCTAAACTTTATAAATTAGAGAAAACATCATGAACTGGTTTTACTAAAATAACATGATTGAGAACAGTAGTTTAAGTCAGAACATGCAATTTTGCCTCCATATACTTCTTACTTTACTACTAAGTTTTTCAGGTCAGGATTGATAGATATTAATAAAGGGTGGTTTAAACCATATTTGAAAAAAAAAAAACCCGTTATAACCCGTTTTGTAACTTAACAGTGCCCTCTTGTTACATTATATAACCATTTAACATGGGCTTTTTTGTTAAATTGCATCTCTATTTAGTATTTAGGATGCGTGGATGCATCTTCACCATCCACATCATTTAAACGCTACCTCTTTTAGTCCTGATCACCATATTCTCTTCCTGCGAATATGCGATCTCTTCGCCTCCTCCAACCCAAACCTTAACTCCTTGCCTCCTCTAAGACTCCACCGGCTACTCCTTTGAGGTAAATTTTTTTATCTTTCAGTTATGTATTGGACATCTTATATTAAATCCTTTAAATAAATAGTGATTTTAAAATTATCTTCCAGATTTTAATACTTCCTATTGTCAATTTACCCTAAATCATATCAAACTTGTTGCTCAATTACTCTACCATTCAACATAATTTTTCAAGATCTACCACAGAATTAGAGTACAACGATAATTAGTGCATTACTTGTGTTAGTAAGATAATTACTTTCAGTTATTTCTTGATTTTGATTAGGTTTTAGTTTTCAGTTTTCAGCTAATACTAAATTTTGTGCGCACAATCTTTGTATATAATTTCTTACTATTGTTATATAGTCATATTTAGTTTAGTTAATTTAGTGAACTTGATTAGGAATTAGAATATTTTTGTAAAGTTAAGTTGGAAGTGTTTGGTTTATTTTAGACTTATTTTTATTGCCTTAAACTTGATGACGTTAACGTATTTGATCATTTGATGATGCTTTTTAGGATGGTAGTTAGTCATATATGACTAACTTTTGTTAAGAATTTGTGATACTATATTTTTTTATTTGATAATTGTGATGTTATGTTTGAAAAGTTTGATGATTCTAAGTGTTAAAGTTATTATGAATTGTTAGTATTTATAAAATATCTAAATAATTAATAAACAATATAACCTACATTATGCGTTACGTTCTTTTGCGTTTTTTTGCTTAACCCTTAACAGGAGGTCAAGCGTTACATAACCCATTTTCGTTTTTCTCAACATTGGTTTAAACATTTTACCCATCATGTCAACTTTTTATGATTTCACAATAGTTTCGAGGGGAATTTGTATAATTTTGAAAGTTGGTGGGTTTTCTCTAATTTATAAAGTTTAGATGATTTCGTGCAAAACACCCACGAGGTTCAGGGGGGTTTTTTTTTTTTTTTTTTTGAAATTTACCCTATAAAGAAATACGCAAGCAGTGGCAATGCTATTACCTATTATGGCTCCATAATGCAGATCAGCATATGGTTCCTCTCCAGTGAGAAGCTCCCACATCACAATGGCAAAAGAGAACACATCAACCTGAAATTAAAAATGCAGCGGGAAGGAAGAAATTAGCAATCGAAACATCATAGATGTTTAGAGAGCAAGCTAAAATGGGCAGGAGGGAGAAAAGGAACAAACCTTATCAGAGACCAGATTGCTACCGCCATTTAGAAGCTCAGGAGCCATCCAGGGAAGTGTTCCTCGCACACCACCAGAAATTAGAGTCTGGCATTTCACTTTGGAAAGGCCAAGATCAGCTACCTGCAGTCCGAAAGAGAAGATAGGTTGAAATTTCCCATAGGATTTTTTTCTAAAAATAGATGTTTTAGCAAAAAAAATTGTCTTTAAATTCTCAGGCAGGTAGATGTCCCTTTAGAACTTAAGGGGATGGAAAGGATTAGCTTGCAAACAAACTATAATTCTTTGACCATGTATAAATAGCACACTCGCATTTATTTCCATGACTAATAATTAGTTGTGTAGAAAGAACAATGAGTTCTTTCTCTATTTTTCTGCTTTGACATCATAAAAAGGTACATTGGACAGAAAATTTTTCAAAGGATACTGAATATTCTAATGCGGCAGTTATCAAAAAATGCAAAAAAAAGACTGCATACTAGCTTGTTAAGAAAGTTATTAGTTTTCTTTTATATTTCTTGTCCACGAGTTTTGATGTACCGCATCAGCAATGCACCATGAATCATATGCATGAACATGGTCCTGATTCAAGGGGGATGGAGTTAATTAGGTATATGCTCTGCCTTTGGCATTTTGAATCATTGGTCTGTTACCAATGTTCACCAAAGCTAAAAGAGGAAAGGGATATCATGTCATGACATATGCACTCATTTCTGAAATTCATGCAAAGAAGTCGAATTATTATTATAATTGAGATCTTACTAATAAATATTTATATGGTCTCAGAGATTAGACATTTTTAACTAATTGTAAGAAGAACATTACAACTCAACCTTGAAGAGTTTAATATTTATAATTTCTGCAGATTTAGTTTTCTTTGAATTGAATTTTTTTAATTCTCTAGTCTTCTCTCTGTACATAACATCAATAAGTTAATAAACAAAATGGCAAGATAAGATCCTCAAGAAACCAAGAATAATATCAACAGAAAAAAGCAAGCCTAAAGTCTCTCTTCACTACCAAATAATTCTCAACCTAGTCTCGAGAAATGGTTAGTAATAAAACAACATTGACCTTTAATAATCAGCCATGAAAAATACCTTGCATATTGGACGTTGAGCATCCCTCAAGTTGACAAGCAAATTGTCACTTTTCAAGTCGAAGTGTATAATATTTTTACCATGCAAGTACTCCATCCCAAAGGCCACATCCATTGCAATGAGAAGGCGTTTCCCATTATCAAGTAACCTGTTAACAACCAAAGATGATAAGTTAGTCGATACTATATAGTCATGCCTTAAGCTCATAAAAGACAACAGTTGCTCGGAAAAGACAACAAATTTTTGGCCTAGATTATCACAGAGTCAACAATCATATATTATAGTAATGAGAGAAGGTCTAACTTGTGATTTTTTTGTAGAGCACGTCGGAGAGAACCGTTAACCATGAATTCAGTTACTGTAGCAAAAGAACCACCGGGTCCATCTAGAACAACTCCATAGAATGCCACAACATTTGGGTGGTGCAAATCAGCAAGCTTGATAGCCTCATTCCAGAAGTCAGCCCTCTGAAGATGTACATTGGCATAATGCATAAACAGCTAAGGAAAATAATAGAAGGAAGAGACACAACTTCAAAAATAAGAACATACCATGCGTTCTTCCTCTGCTGGTTTCCCAGCAAAACATCTGTCATTTATCCTTTTTATTGCAACATCCGAACCCCTCCATTTCCCGTGATACACAGTTCCAAATGTTCCTGAACCCAGTTCTCGTAGCTCTTCGAGGTCACTGTTCTTTATTATCTGAAGTGAAGGATGAACAGACTCAATTGGTAAGAAAATGAATAGATATCAGAAACTGCTGATGAAAAAGAATTCCAGCTGCTAACCTGAAGGTGTCCAATTTCATCTGTTAACGGAAAACCGAAATTCACCTTATCTGCTTGTTTGTTCGTTATGCCCTAATTGCGGTAAAAGTAAGCAACAAAGACAACTGTACAGAGGGCAAAGACAACTGTACAGAGGGTTTTTTCTTTTCTGATCAGATGCTGTCGCCGCACTCTGTACGAGTGTATTTATCTCACCAAATACAGTTTCTCTGTTGGATGGATGAACAGATTCTGGTATCTTGTGTGGAGAAGTGACAGATGTAGGAGGTACAGAGGGCTCAAACACTGCTGCAAATGCTTGCTCAGGTAAACCTTGAACTTCTTGTTTATTGTGATCCTCTCCTATGTACAAAGTAGAGCAGATGAAAGAAAAAGAGAAAGTTAACCACAATTTAGGCCCAATTGTTTTGGCAAAGGTCAACTAAGTACAGAATTAGGTGTGTTCGAGCAGTGGTATCTGAACCCTCTTTTCAGCTAATTTACAACAGCCTATGAAACTGAATAGGTCATTCTACACGCCTTTATAGATTTAAACTTCCTAGGAATAAATGTTCATATTTTCCGAAGGTCTTATTTATGCATAAAATGGTTACAAATGTTATAGTCCTTGCAGGAGTAAGACAATAGATGAGTAGGAATCTAAGCCCACTAATTTGTTATGTGTATTCTGTTAAAACAACAGGGTACATTGTACACAGAAATTAAGGCTCACCACAAGAAAACAAAAATGAAAGAATATTTCTAACCTTGTTTGTGCCGTACTGACTCCGTGATCAGGTCCTTGTTTTTGGAACTTTGTAGGTGGTCAAATCCGTCTTCTGCAACCATAGCTAGTTCTGAACCTTTGCTAGTTACCAAAGGATTCTCAGTGCACAGATCCTTAGGGGAAATGGATTCTTGGCTAGGCATTTTGCTAATACTTGGGAGCAGTAGGTGCATATCCCCCAGAATATTTCGAGGATCCTGGTTGCAGAATAATGAGTTCGATGGGACTGGCCCTTGAAACTGTTCTACATGGCCACTGCTGTCACCAGAATTTGAAATTTGACTTATAACAGTACCATTTAGAGGGACAGCTATGTTGTTGAGTGGATCCTTAAGATGGAACAAAGAAGCCTCATATTTCTGGCCTCCAACAGGCACCATATTGACAGAATCGTTATTATCGTAGGCAGGAGTAATGCCATAAGAGTATGCTGGCACCAGAAACAATCGTTCATTTTGAATGTCTGAGCGAACCACCATTTCTTGATTATAAGATATCAAAGGTCCATGATTAGCCATAACAGTTGATGCCTGGCTGGTATCAGAAGACTGCAGAGACTGCAAGTGCGTAAAGACCATTGAGGAGGGTGGCATCTGACTGGTTAGTCGAACAGAGTTTCTCTGTGGAACAAGTCCAGCATCAATAAAGGCATTCCCAAGATAAACTGCATCGCCTCCAGCTTGTAACCTGAATCCTTGATTGTTATATGCAGCAAGTGAATGGTGTCCAGGCTTTAAATCCATGGAGGGAGGTGGGAGATGAGTTACTGGTCTAAAAGAGTTTCCATTGGGAAAAACTGCAGGCATCATGTAAGAATTACCAAGAAACACTGGATTCCCTTCAACTTGCGATTTGGTCGCATGAGTGTTCTCTGTTACCAATGAGTTCTCACGCTTTAGTACAGGGACACCACGATCAACTGTGGCTTCTGTTCTGGGATGCTCTGTGATCTCTGAAGGTTTAGATGTACTCACTATCATGCCACTTATAGGTCTAACATTTTCAAGTGTTTCTGGAGGAGAAACTCCATTTGAAGGTGCAGCTGCAGGGAGATTTCCATTCTTGACTATGCTAAAATTTCCATTGGAGGCCTCTGAAGGTCCAGATGTACTAACATGGAGACTCTCCATCATACCATTTATAGGTTTAACATTGTCATGCGTTTCTGGTGGAGAACCTCCATTTGGAAGTGCAGCCGCATGGAACTTTCCATTCTTGACTATGCTAAAATTTTGATTAGTAACCGGATCTTGCTTAACCAGATGATTATGTGGTGCCATATTCTGCATCAATGGCTGAAAAGGATCAGGAAAATGGGATAGTGGAAGATTAGCGGCCCCTGCATAAGATGTTTGTGTGTCAACAGGCAACCCAACCGCAGTTGGCACATTTGGATTAACTAGAAGTCTATCATCGTCATGCAGTTGTGACTGCTTGGGAAATTGGCTGTATCCATAGTTCACAAATTGAGATGAAGCGGCCATGCTATCGGCCTTGGGTTCCACCATGTTCACTGTCAAGGCTCCAGAGATTGCGTTATTGGGAACCAAAACTTTAGTAGGATCAAGAGCTTCTACTTTTGGATGCACTAGCCTCTCTTTCTCAAGGGGATGTGATATATCGTGGGTGAACCCACTGGCTCCAAACTGACCCTTGGTTTCCACCATGTTTTCTGTCAAGGCTCCGCTACCTGCGTTATGGGGAATCAAAACTTTAGTAGGATCACAAGCTCTCTCGTTGTCATGTGATTGTGGCGG